TATTTATTTATTTATTTATTTATTTAGTGTTTCTAATTGTTTGCTGCTGCTTATTTTTTGCCTCATTTTTATTTTTATTTAAACACTATTTAAAGCCGTTTAAGATACTTTTAATTTTAATTTATTTTAAAACAAAATAAAGTAAACTAACCAATTTGTTTATTATTTAAATTAATTAAATTAATTAAATCAATTAAATTAATTAAATTCTCAATTTTTATTTATTGGCATTTAAAGTAGTTAAAGTACACGAAACCAGAAGCAGCAAACCGCTGGCCGGGCAGTGGAGAAGCAGGCAGCAGCAGCAGCAGCAGCAACAGCAGCAACAGCAGCAGCAGCAGCAGCAGCAGGCAGCAAATTGGCCGCCTTAGAAAAGATTGAAAACAGCAAGCAGCTTTTCGCTGCTCCGGGTGTAGGAATAATGAACAAATCCTGTGCTGCTGCTGCTGCTGCCTTTACTGCTGCTGCTTCTGCTGCTGCTGCTTTTGCTTGCTGCTTCTCGTGCTTGCTGCTGCTATTGCTGCCTTTGCTGCTGCTGCTACTGCTGCTGCTGCTGCTTTTGCTGCTGCTGCTGCTGCAGAGAGACACAAGTACCTGCTGTCGCTGCTGTACCGGAAAATAGGAAAAGAAACATTTTGGGAAAAAGCAAAGACAGAAGTGTTTTGGCTTTTCCTCAGCAAACAAATTCTCTTTCCCTGGCTGCCCCACGAGCTGCCCCACAGGTGCATCCACGAAGGTCAGTGCTGCTGCTGCTGCTGCTGCTTCTGCTTATGCTGCTGCTGCTGCTACTGCTTTACTACCACTACTACCACTACTACTACTGCTGCTGCTGCTGCTGCTGCTGCTTTAGTACTCCTACTACTGCTGCTGCTGCTTTAGTACTCCTACTTCTGCTGCTGCTGCTGCTGCTTTACTCGCTGCTGCTGCTGCTGCTTTACTCCTGCTGCTGCTGCTGCTTTACTCCTGCTGCTGCTGCTGCTGCTGCTGCATTACTCTTGCTGCTGCTGCTTCTGCTGCTGCTGCAGGTTTGCGCTCTTGGTGCATATCTCGGGGGGGGTTCTCTTCGGTGTATCCGGAAGAAGTGTCTGAGGTGTCTAGACAGCTGCGGGCTTTTGGAGTTTTTCATCAGCAGCAAGTTGCTGTTGAGGGACTCCCGTGTCTTGTGGACATTCTCATCACTGCCAAAGACGGAACCAAAACCGGTCTGCTGCTGCTGCTGCTGCTGCTGCTGCTGGTGATGATGATGATGGGGGTGGTGATGGTGGTGATGCTTCTCGCGCTGCTGCTGTTGCTGCAGCTGTTGCTGCTGCAGCTGTTGCTGCTGCAGCTGTTGCTGCTGCAGCTGTTGCTGCTGCAGCAGCTGCTGCAGCTGCAGCCATTGCTGCTGCAGCTGTCGTTGCTGCTGCTGCTGCTGCTTCTGCTGCTGCTGCAGCTGTTGCTGCTCTCTCTTCCTGGATCATTCGCGAAGTGCTCACTCCCCCCGTTGTGCTCTTTTTGCACTTACTAAATCACAATTAAATTAAATTAAGTTGAATTAAATTAAATTAAATTAAATTGAATTAAACTAATTGAATTAGTTCTTTTGATTTGCTGCTGCAGCACTGCTGGTGACAGAAGAGTGCGCGCGGAACAGCAGCGCGCTGTGCGGGGGCTCTTTGCTGCTGTCTGTACACCTGAAGCACTTGGGGCTCTCGAGTGTCTTGGCAATTTCCAGGAGAAAGTGGAGAGCAGCAAACCAAGCAGCAAGAGTTCAAATGCTGCAGCACACTCTCCAAGACCTGCAGCAGCAGCAGCAGCAGCAGCAGCAGCAGCGGGTCACGCCGCTGCGCGAAAGAGAGCAGGAGCAGCAGCGGCTACTGCATCCGCGAGAGCATGAACAGCAGCAGCAGCAGCAGGAAGCCCTGTTGTAGCGAGTGTCTCAGTAGCAGCAGCAGCAGCAGCAGCTGCAGCAGCAGTAGCAGCAGCGGTGAGGCGTCGCCTATAGCGACACATGGTTTTATTTTTAAAGCGACACACTTGGCGGGCTGAATGCCATTTAGCGCAGGGGCTGTTGAGGCCTAGGGTTTAGGGTTTAGGGTTTAGGGTTTAAGGTCTCGAGTCGAGTCTGGGCAATCGGCCAGGCGCAGCAAGTAAATCTGAAGTCTAAATTGAATAAAATGGACACTAAATGAATATTAAATAGATATTGAAGTATTAAAAACTCAATTAAACCCAAACTCCTCTCAATGGAACGCCGTTGCAACTTAATCTAAACGAGGTGTACTATACTCGCTGGGGTGTACGTACACCCGAGAGGCTGCAGCGGGCTAGACCGCTGCGGACACCGGCGGCGTGGGAGATCTTCGGTGAGTTTTAGGGAGTTGTTTATTTGAATTAATTTAGAGATTAAAAAGATAAATTGTGGCATTTTAGAAATTAAATTGGGGGTTTTGGGAGTTCGAGCGGCATGCACAGCGCCGCGGCGCCAGGGGGTGAGCGGGAGCCGCGGGCCGGGTGGCTGCGGAGTTGGGGGTTTGGATTTGGAGTTTTGGACGCTTTGGAAGTTTATTTTGAGATTTGTTTGGAATTAAAACTCAGAAAAGAGTTTTAATTGCATTTGAAGAGGCGGAAGCAGCGGGGAAGTCCGGGAAGCGAGGCGGGAGCACGGGGTGGAGTCCATCGCCGAGATCCGGGGTGCTGGGGCATTTCTTGGGAGTTTTCGCGGGCGAAGTTTTTCTTTGTTGTGCATTTTGCGTTAATTAAGGAAACTAAGTGCATTTAATTAAATAAAATTGGAAAAAAGGGGGAAATTCGGGCGAAGGAGCGAGCGGCTGGGGCCGTCCGCGCAGCAGCAGCTGGGACGATCGGCTCTCCACTTGTTGACCAGCAGCAGCAGCAGCAGCAGCAGCGAGGAGGCGAGACTGTTCGGCGCGAGGCGCATAGACAGTCGGAATTGCTTTGCTTTGTTTGTTTTTCTTTTTTCGTTTCTTTGGATTGAATTTGTTGCTTCGGCCTCGAGCCAGCGAGGGAGCAGCAGCAAGAATCGCAGCAGCAGCAGCAGCTCCTGCAGCTGGCAGCGTCGGTTCTCGAGACAGTCGGCGCCTTTTTTGGTGCTGCTTGCTGCGCCTCGCGCTGCATTAGTGTTTCTTAGAGCTGCAGCAGCAGCAGCAGCAGCGGCAGGGAAGTTCTCGGAAGCAGCTCCTGGGGAGGTCTTCTCGGGGCAGCAGCAAAGTGGAAGAAGGGGTCTCTACAGAGCACAGGATCCCTTTGCTTCCCACTCGTGTCTCCTCCTTTCTGTGCCTTCCCGATTCTCTCCCGCTGCTGCAGCAGCAGCAGCAGCAGCAGCTGTTCGCTGCGGGTGGCCGTTGGGCCCCCCGATGCTTCTCACTGCCCAAGGCAGCGCAACACGGGCCGCAGCAAGAAGAAGAAGCGCAGCAGCAGCAGCAACGGCAGCTCGCGCACGAGCAGCCGCCCCGCCCTTCCCCGCCTCCGCTGCTGCTGCTGCTGCTGCTGCAGCAGCCGGACCCGCGCAGCGATGGCGCTGCTTCGAGTGCACCAGCTCTGGCCGCTTCTGCTGCTGTGGCTGCCGGCGCTGCTGGCGCCGCCGCTCGCCAGCCTCGCGCGCTCCTCCCCGGCCCCCCCCGCCCCCCCCGGGGGCCCCCCCGGGGCCC